GCGGCGGCGGCCGGGAAGGCGTCTGACGCACCGAGGGGTGGGCACCTGAGGGGTCCATGGAGCCGCTGCGGCCTGAGGACCGGGTCATGCGCGCGGCAGGGTCGTCCCGGCGCTTCATCGGTGATGATGGGCGAGCAAACAAGTGAGGAAGCCACACGGCAGCGGCAGAGGCCCTAGCGGCGGTTGGCGGGGGTGGGAGAGCAAGCGCGACAGCTACCAAAGCTGACCTGGGCGACCCAGCGAGCCCCTGAATTACTTTTAAAGCCACAATTCTAATACCACCCCTGCTGCTGCCTCCTGACTGGGCACAGAAGTTTCTCGGGGAATCCTCTGCTCCATCTTATACTGACTCAGAAGGCAACTTGCATTTTAAGTTTCCCAGAGGGCACACCTGCAATCTGTACAAGCCTACAGGGGTCTCTGTTTCTATTCCTCATGCTTGGCAGCAATCTTTGCAGTTTACCTGACCATTGTCACAAGCACCTGGTGTTGTCCGAAATGGCTACTTCTTCTAAAATTTGTGATGTATTAGCCAGGCGTAGTGGGACACCCCTGTAATCCCAGCACTTGGGAGGCTGAGGCAGGAGAGCTGCCGTAAGTTCAAGGCTAGTCTGGGCTACATAAGCAAGTTCAAGGCCAGCATGTAGTACATATTAGATATTGTCTCAAAACAACTAAAAAAAAACCAAAACACTTAAGTTTAAAAGCAAACTACACATATACGTACACAACACACTTACATATTAAAAATAGTCATGCCAGACATGGTGGTGCACGCCTATAATCTACCAGCTCAAGAGGCTGAGGCAGAAGGATCACAAGTTCGAGGCCAGCCTAGGCAACTTAAAAGAAGCAGTGTCAGAAAATAAGAACTCAAGTGGCCCTGGGATGGACCTCAGTGGCAGGATGCTCTGGATTCAATTCCTGTTAACACACACACACACACACACACACAGAAAATGTCATCTCTGGAAAGTAGAATTATATGCAAATTTAATGTTTTGTGTATGTTTGTTTTCAGAACTAAAATTTAACCTACTCAAAACAAAAATCACTTTTCTAGTAACCAAGACAGAAATAGGAATATCAATTTATATTCTTCTTTCCTCTAATCTTCCACATCCAGTTGGTCAAAGCACCAATAGTGCAGACTCCAAGAACAAATCTCAATTACACTGAAAACCTTCACAGTGTATAGGAGTTGGCGATAATGGAACTGGAGATTAACGAGGATGTTTGGCTAGAAGATAAAGACGACTGACTGAGGAAATTAGGAAAACTTTTTTTTTTTTTTGAGACAGGGTCTTGCTTGGCGGTTTGGACCGGTCCTGTGCTCACTTTTGTAGCCGCCCCCCATCCCCATCTCAAATTCATAGCGATCCTCCTGACTCAACGTCCTGAGTGCTGGGCTTACTGGTATGCACCACCATGCCCAGTTCTAGGTAAACTTTTAAGATGCTTTAGACCTGGAGTCAACACTACAACCACCTACACATTTGTGTAAATAAAATTTAATGAAACACAGGCTCATTCATTTATATGTTGTCTATATCTACTTTTGCCATGAAAGTGTGAAATAATTTCAACAGAAGCTCTTAGGGCCCTTTATCACAGTGAATGAGAACCATTCAAGAGCTCAAGAGGGCCTGGGATATAGCTCAGCAGCCTAAGTGCCTATCTGGTAAGCGCAAGATCTCAAGTTCGATGCCTGATACTGTAAAAAAAAAAAAAAAAAAGGAAAAAAGGGCTCAAGAGGTCACCAAGCAGTGCACGCACGCGCGCGCGCGCGCGCACACACACACACACACACACACACATTTTGAGACAAGGTCTCGCTAAGCAGTTCAGGCTGGCCTTGGGCTCACTTTGAAGCCCAGGCTGGTCTTCAACTCAATCCTCCTGCCTCAGCCTCTCGAGTGCTAGGATCACAGGTGTGTGAAACCACACCGGGCTACTTTACTTATAAGAGACAGTGTCACACTGTGTTGCTCAACCAGTCTTGAAGTTACGGGCTCAAATGATCCTCTTGCCTTTGCCTCCCTAGTCCTTGGGATTATAAGCAGCTGCCCAACACCAGCCAACTTTTTACCTCCACACTTATCCCTCAGTAGACTACCAAGATACCTGAGGAAAGTCTCCAACAAAGCCAGGCAGAGATCAATGCCAATAAGGTACAACTTAGAGGAAAAAGGAAGACAAGCTCAAAAAAATAGACTGTCATAAGAAAACCGCATTCAGAGGAAAAAAGTAGTCTTGGACTATCTGAGACAACAGAAATGAGAAACGCTAACCACAGAAGGGATAGAGGATAATTTTGAGGATTCCTTTCCTTAGAATCTGAAGCCTCAGGGCCAGCCACATAGTTCAGCAGATTAAAGGCCTGCAAGCAGGTGCAGGGGCCGGGAGTTCAATCCTCCAGTCCGCCGTGCCACCCCCACCCCAAGGCACACTGAGACTGGGTGTGGTAGCGTGCCTGTAATCCCAACTCTTGGGAGGCTGTAAACAGGTGAGTCACTACGAGTCCCATCTAGTACACCCTGTAGACCCTTCCCTAAAATACAAAAAAGAAAAAGAATCTGAAGTCTGGGGACAGGACCCAGTGGCTCACATCTGGGCCTAGTATATACCTTAGTACCCAATCCAAGCAAGAGACTGGCGTGTGCTGCAGCACTCAGTGCCCACCGCATTTCAGGCAACTACAACACATTTGGAATGCTTTTAAGTACTGAAATACTTGTTGGATGTATGGTTATTTTCTTTTAACTTTATTTCTTTTTCTTTCTTTTTTTTGTGGTACCAGGGACTGAACTCAGGACTTTGCACTTCCCAGGCAAGTGCTTATTCTATTGGGCTATCTCCCTGGCCTCTTTGAACTTTTAACCTACTTTGATCCTCCAGGTTTTCAATACCTCACACATACCCTGAAGTATGGATGACCCTTGGCAGACACCACAGCCATGACATAATTCTCACCAGAACCCACTTCAGGATCACTTCCATTTTTCATAAATGAAACTGAGGCTCAAATTAACTTTCCTATCACCTTTCACGTGCCCAGGAGTCCAGAATCCAAACCATAGTCCTCTCTATGCTACCCTTTCAATTACCCAAATCTGCTCACTCCCTGAATCCATTAATGTGACTCAGTATATGAGCTCACAATATCCATGGCCAGGGGCTGGGGAGATGGCTCAGTGGAATAAGTGCTTCCCTGGCAAGCGCAAGGGCCTGAGTTCAATCCCTGGTTCCACAAAAAAAAAAAAAAAAAAAAAAAAAAAAAAAAAAATCCATGGCCTTCTAAGAAATTTGATAATAAGGTTGTCAAGGTATCTTTCCAAGCTCTTTTTTGGTGCTTATTTTTATTTTATTTATTTATGCTTATTTTTAAAGGACTTCCTAAAACTCCCTTCATTCTCAGAGCCTGCAGTGTACAACCTCACAAACAACTGGTGCTCAGCAGAGACTTGCTGACCAGCAAGTGGGAGAGCGCTGACTTACCTTCCTGGCCACCAACTGGATGGCGTCATCCTCAAAGACCTTCAAATGCTTGAGCCGAGACACTAGAATCTGCTGCAGTTGGCTGTGAGTATAGGGCTGGAAGGACATCCTGGTAAGGCCCTAAGGGCCAGAAGACAGAGGAAAAGTTCATTAACTGATCACTGACTGCCCAGGTAGAAAACCATCTTCAGCCTCCTAAGCCGAATTCCCAAGTTCCACATTACATTTTTTTCATTTCTTCCCAGGACTACTCTGGCAGCCTACTACCGTCATTACTGAAAACGGCCGGGGGCATCCTACAGGTCACTAGTTCTCAAACTACTTTTTTGTTTTAAGAACCTTTTATTCTGCCAGAATCATTTGGCATTAGATGGAAGCAGAGTGGCTCTCACTAACCCAGGTATGAGGAGGTCAGGATTTACACTCTGATCACACAGCCTCTGGCTGGGAACATCAGGTCCATCATGATTGGACCTGCTGCTTCCTGCTCAACTGCTGGGCTGTGAGAACAGAGTCTGCCCCTGCCTGGCTCACTGCTTTACTCCACCTACCTTACAGGTAGCAAGTAGTAAGTGCTTCATAATTTTAAAGTAATCGGCCCACTGTGGTAGCACATGCCTGTTATCCCAGGGCAACATTAGGAGGCTGAGGCCAGAGGACTGCAAGTCCAAGCCCAGCCTGGGCAACTTAGTGAAATATAAAAACTAGAAAAGGACTGAGATATAGCTCAGTTTATAGGCCCTGAGTTTAACACCTGGTACATACACATATCCCAAAACAAAGTAAAAACAAATAGCTCTTCACAGTTTTGTACAATTTAAAAATGTAGAGGTAATACAGTGTCAAGACAGGATATGTGCACAAAATCATGCAGCGGCATTTCATCCAACGTAGAAATCACATGCACAGCAGAACCATATTTAATTTTCTGTTTCTATTTTTGCAGAACCCCTTCACCCAGCTTAGAGACCTGTGCCTGAGAACTGCATAGGACCTACCAATCGGCTTGACACCCGGTTCATCATGATCCTCTCAGGCAGATCCATGGTGTTGGCAATAGTCAGGACCACCAGGCAGGCCTCCTTGTGAGTGGGCCAGTCAAAGAGATTATACATGACATCTTGCTTGTGAGTCCACAGAAGGTCAAGCTGCCAGGTAAGGGGACAGACATGCTGGGCTGGTCAGGAAGACTGAGCCAGGGAGGGGTGGAAACCCGTTACACTGTCCTCGCTGCATGCCCCGCTCAGGTCACTCTACCCAAGCAGCAAGGAGTCCATGAACAGGCTCACGTGAATGCAGAAGGGAGCCACCACTTCCAGCCAACCCAGATTCACTCCTGGAATGTTATAGTCAAGTGCTGCCCACTTCTCTTTACCTCCCTGGGACCCCTTACCTCATCCACAAGCAGGACAGTGGTTTCCTGCGGGGACCCTCGGGTGCAGAATCGCTTTGCCAGCAGTGCTGCTGCATGGTTAGCTGTTGCCTTCTGGCCCGTCAGCTTCTGCATGGGGAAAAAAACAGCTGTGGTGAACAGGTTTAAGGTGAGATCTATTAGAAGAAGAAACCTAGACTGGGGATTTCAGTGTCCTGTTTTCTGTACCCCCATTCTATCCTTATCCTTAACCTGGAAGGACAGGAGAAGCACCAGAGAAGATAAAAATCTTGTGTTTAAAATGGAAATGGGTCTACGGCCATACCACCCTGAACGCACCCGATCTCGTCTGAAATGGAAAGGCTGGCCCCAGAAGTCCTGCTAAAGTCACCACTGCACCATTGTGTAACTGAATATGACCCATACTGAGGGAAGAGCTAGTGAACCAAAAGAAAAAGAAAGGGAAACCTAAACCCTGGCCTGCCTCTCAGCTCTGTTCCATAGCTGCCACCTTGTCGCATGTCGGCTAATGGTTGTCACCAAGTTGCCAAGGCCCGGCTTGCATTCACTCACTGAGCAGCTCCTAGACATAAGAGTCCTTGAGAGCAAGAATTCTGTCTCCCTCACCCTTGCTACTATGCAAAAGACAATGCCTGGTAGACCCGAAACCTGTGAAATACACAGAAGAAAGTAGCCATTGCAGCTCTGCTCACCTGCAAGATCTGCACGTAGACTTGGTGGGGCTCTGTCAACTTCATGCCATTAACCTCAATGTATTGGAAGGGAGGAACGTCATTAGCTTGGGCTGCCTGCTGCAGACAGCGTATCACCTCATGCACAGTGGCAGTCTTTCCTGTCCCAGGAACCCCAGAGATGTACATGCACCTAGGGTAAGATGGGGAGACCTGTAGGCAAGGTCTGTGCCAGGCACCAAAAGCCAAAAAGGACTGAGATACTTGAAATGTGCAGGTGGGGACAGTAAGGAGCATCACTGGAAGCTGGTCAGAGTAGGACTGGTTCAGACAGTCACTCACAAGCAAGCCTATACACGAAACTACCTAGTGATCGAAGGCCAGTGCCCCCACCATCCCCCTGTGTTCAGAGGTGGGGCTTTGGAAAGGAGATTGAGGCATTCTTCTCCTTAGTACATTCATCTAACAGTGGGGAAGGCTGCGCAGCGCTTGCTATGAGGTCAGGGGACCTAGGGAGCGCATCTCCCTCCTGACAGTGCCTTTCCTCCCTGCTTCCTGACCCATGGCAGGCCCATCCACATCACCTTTTCTGCGTGTGAGCCTGCCAACCATCGACCAAAAGCTTCATAGGTCTGAGCCAAAATAAACCTCTCCACCTTTAATTTGTGAACACTGGGTGTTTTGTCCTAGTGATGAGAAAGTAACTGAAGTGACTTAAGACAACCAGTTTTTTCTTTTCTTTTTTTTTTGGTGGTGCTAGGGATAGAACTCAGGAACTTGTGCTTGCTAGGCAAGCCCTTAGTCCACTGAGATATCTCCCCAGCCCCAAGTTTTTTATTTTCTGAAAGACAGAAGACTACTATAAAATTTGGCTACAGAAGCTTCTTCAGAAGCAGTCAGCTTCACCAATGATCTTATTAATCCTGGAGAGATTACCTACCTAGACTGGGGCTTCCTCCTTGGACCACCCCACCCCACCTCACGTCCCTCACCCTCCAGTTTGGTCAAGAAGTTTGCTTTCCACAAAGTTGTAGATGTCTTGGAATTCCTTCTCTCGACAAGGAAGAGACTCAGGCACAGCAGAAACATGCAGCCTACAGCGAGTGGTAATAAAAGAAAAGGAGGACTTTAGAAGCCTAAGGGTGGCAGACCTCAGAGGTACCAGTGAAGGGTCACCTCCCATCCCACAGAAGATGGCAGCAGTAGACGTGAAAGAGACTCCTTCCACCGAGTGCTGTTACCTCAGCCGCACTCTGCTTGAAAGGTTGCTCCTTCTAAACACTCATTTTACATTCTGCCCTTATTATAAACACTAATGCCTGCACTCGGCCCTAATCCCTCCCCGCCCACTTCTCGGGGCTCATGAGCAGCACTACCTCAGCCGGGCCTCCTCCAGCACGTTGGCCGGCTCCTGGGCGGCCAAGCTTCGGTTGCGAATCTTGGCGGTGGCACGATGTGGTGTTCTAGGCCTGAGCTGTATTCAAAAGAGAACAGGACTGAGATGGACAAACAAAACCAAATGCCATCCAGGATGCCTCACAATAATCTGATAAGAAGAAGCAGATAGTGAATTCTTCTTCCTGTTTCTGTTCTTCCCCTCCCACATCACATTCTTTCTCCATTGTCCAAATTCCACTCCAATTTACTTCTTTTTTCTTTCTTTTCTTTTGAACCAGAAATCAAACTCAGGATTTCTTGTGCTAGCCAGGCATGTGCTGTGCTGTGCGACTGAGCTATAGCCTTGGCCCCTACTTTAAATCTTGAAAGACAACAAGAAATTTTTAAGAAACCTAAAGTACTGTACACAAAGGTAGGGTAGAAGAGTAGTCAAAACTGGGTTTGAGTCCTAAGATATTTTGTTATGCTCAAAAATAAGGACTTCCACAATCCACGACACACGGCAAGTGCCACACATCCAGCCCCAGGCCAGTGCTGGGCTCACAGCCCATCCACCTGACTGGCTAGAGCAGGCCTGCTCCTCCCTCGCTGTGAGTAAGGGGCATCGTCCCACCTCCCCTTCAGGCAGAAAGCACTTCCACTCCGGCTGTTCGAAAAGCTTTTTATCTATTAACAGTGAGGAAAGCAGCAAAATAATAATAAAGCCTTACAGAGAAAGAATCCAGGACCCTGGGGGATGTCTGACCTTCCTTTTCACTAGGCCAGGATGTCACTCAGGTTACAATCTCTCCTGGGTGGGAGGCAGGTAATACAATCAAACCAGAGCGAGGGACCTTTGTACAGGAATTACAGGTAAAGACTCCCAGCCTCTGCTTCAGATAGGATCTACTGAATTCCCCTCTTCTGGATGTTTTTCTTTGCCTTCAATCTAAATTAATTAACTTTATTTATTTTTACAGTACCAGGGATTGAACTATTCAATCTAAATTATATATATATTATAGATATATATATATATCTTTTTGTGTGTGTAATTTAGTACAGGGTCTACAGGGTCTCCCTGTATAGATTGGACTCATAGAGATCCTCCTGTTTATAGCCTCCCAAATTCTGGGATTACAGGCACTTACCACTATGCCCAGTCTCAATTGCCATCTGCCATCTCAGTGTGCCCCAGGGGCAGGGCCAGCTCGGCAGGCCTGGGGTTCAAATTCCTGGCCCGTCTCTTCCTAAGCAGGCACTTTAATCCACTGAGCTATTTGGCCAGCCCTGTATTTTATTTATTTATGTATTTGGTACAAGGTCTTGCTACATAGCTTGGACTCACAGTGATCCTCCTGTCTCAGCCTCCCCAGCGCTGGGATGACAGGCATGCACCACCATGCCCATTTTTGGTGGCCAGCATGGCATACTATACCAGGGATTGAACTGGGGTCCTTGTGCTTGGCAGGCAGGCGCTTAGACCACGGGCCTATCTCCCCAGCCCTATATTCAATCGTGATCGGAAAATTCTAATTAAGCATTTCCCAACTGTGATCAGAAAAACAAGTTGCTCCATCAGTTTAACTTGTTTAATACCAATATTTCTCAAACACGTCTATTTTTCTTACTACTATTTAGTGTTTTACTTAAGTTCTACTCAGCAGAAAAGACACCTTTGCTTCCATCTCACTGTTAGCCAATTGCTCACCAAAACGTACGCTACACGCTGCACTCCCAGTTTCTCGGGTAAATCAGCCCGGCCCGGCCCGGCCCGGCCCAGCCCAGCCCAGCCCAGCCCAGCCCAGCCCAGCCCAGCCCACAGCTGGCTCAGTTCCCTCTAAGGCCTGGTGCACTTGCTGGGGAAAGGCAAAGGCAGGGAGGAAGCTCAGCTCTCAGGAATTTGATCTTAAAAGGAACTTGAACTTAAAAGTCAAGGGGAACTAGATTCATTTTTCAGTCCTCAGGTTCATTTAGGTATGCTTTCTCCTGAACAGTGCTCAGAACCCAGCTGTGACCAAGTGTCACTTCAACCTTGCCAACCTTTACACCAGAAGAGGCTGCTTCACTGGAAAGAAACGTGAGAGAATCTTACAGTCTTCTTTGGTGTCCTGGAGGGGGTCTGGACAGATGCCTCTGAGCAAGGCAATGGGTTCCTGGATGTGTGGTGGGATTTTCTTTTTGGAAGGGATGGAGCAGAAACCTCTCCATCCTCACTGCTGGATTCGGAATCCTCTGTTGCTGGCAGGAATTCTTTCTCTTCTTGGTCATTTGTATTGTTTTCTAGAAATCTGAACGATGGGGACATATTACTTTCTGTTAGTCAGGGTTCAAGCCTGCTAAGAATTCCAACAAGATGGACATGCATCACAGGCATTAGTTAGCCTCTTCTGCCACCCAGCAGTGTGGGCTTTGTTCTACTTCTGAGACATTCTGCCAACAGGGGGCTTTAATCTCATTAAACCCCTCCAACAATTTTGTGGCTTACTATCTTATACATGAGGAATCAAGGATTAAATGACCTTCCCAAACCTCACAGATTCAGAAGTCTAAATTCAAATTAAGGTTTATCAGAGTTAGAATTCACTGTCTTGCTGGGAATGACAGTCGTGGGGCTGGTCATGGGCACATGTAAACCCAGATCAAGCCAGGCATGGTGGTGCCTGCCTGTAATCCCAGCACTCAGGAGGCTGAGGCAGGAGGATCACTATGAGTGAACAAGGTCAGCCTGGGCTACAGCGAGAGTTCAAGGCCAGCCTGAACTGTAAAGGAGACCCTGTCTGAAAAAGATAACAACCAACAACAAAGCCCAGATCAGTACTTCTTGTCCCTCTGAAACTGTAATTTTTGTGTGAAACTTAATATAAATCCAAACAAGCTATCTAAAAACTGAATTGCAACACATGGGCGACTGTAATGGTCGATACATTGTGCCAACTAGAAAAGTTGAAGGAAGGAACTCACCTGCTGGCCAGGGTCCTCACGTTGTAAACATCCTAACCACACAGATGGTGTGAGAGCTACATACGCTCACCCTGGGGGTGGCGGGGGTGGTAGCTGCTTACAATACAAGGAAGAGGCCAGCTCTCTCTCTAGCCCCCCTTTTTGCTCTTGCTGCTTTTGCTGTCTTCTGCCACCATGAACTGCTGCACTCTGCCATGTGCCGATCTGCCTGAGACCCGGCTGATTATAGACTGAAGCCCCCACAAACTGTGAACTAAATAAACCTTTCCTTTTGGGGGGCATTGGGTATTTTTTTCTCAGCAATGAGAGACAAATAACCAGGACAGCAACTAAGAGAAGAAACCTAGATCCAACAGGTGACAGGGAGGTTCTGCCTGCCAAGGAGTGGCCCTACCGAAGCTGCTGCCTAATCCGATTCATCGTCAGGAGAGAACTTTTTCTGCGGGTGCGTTGGGAAGTAGCAGCAGCTTCATTCTGGCCATCTGGTTCTTTTGCTTCCCTGCAAGAGAATTGTAAACACATTACAGAAACCACTTTTGAGCACCTAGGCTCTACCCACAGGCATGAGAGGTTAAGTCAGGGGGTCTGATTGGCTCCTCTTCTTTGTATAGCTACTATGCAGAGCTAACCACACTTTGCTAAAAGGGCTATAAAAGCTCAGATTCAAGTTTGCTTAAATCTTACTGAAATCATTCATCTTCCCCAGCTGTAGACTGCAATATACTAATCCCAGGCAGTTTCCTGTCTTTTCACTTGTTCCTTTCTGGTATATCCATAAATCTGCTCCCAGGCAAGGTTAGCAGAAATGCTTAGTTCAATCAGTATAAAGTCTTTATTGAACAACCTATCAGGGACAGCTGTTGGGAGTTTCTATTTGTGATTTCTTGCTGGCCACATTTTCATTTGTACAGCTCATTATCTATAAATAGTATCTGGCATCAGATTGCAGAGTTTGTGCTGGATTTATTATCTGTCTTTACTATATTAGAGAATGGCTTCAAATTAAAAAAGAAAATTCTGGTTTTAGAAAAATGATTGTCAAAATGTGACAAGGAGCCATACCACCTAATGAAATCCAGAATTGTAGGTTTAGAAAATATTTTTCTTTTTATTTTTTCTTAATGTATTTGCTTGTTACAGGGTCTCACTACGGCAGCTCAGGCTCATAGTGATCCTTCTGTTTTCAGCCTCCCCAGTGCCGGGATTACAGGCCTACAGCACCACGCCCAGACTATGGCTCAGTCCTCCCCGGGGGAGGGGCTGGCAAGGCATGTGGTGCCAGGGATCGAACTGCGGTCTCTGCGCTTGCCGAAGCGTGCCTAAGCAGGTGCTTTAGTCCACTGAGCTATCTCACTGGACCTGGAAATTATTTTTCCACAGAACAATTCTCTAATGACAGCAGGGGACACAGAATCAGTGAAGGGCATTTCAAAATAGAAACACCATGACATAATGCTTGGCATCTGATTCACTAGGTACAGTCATAGGCTTAGCAATTCGTATTTTGCAAAAACAAAAACACAAAAAAGGAAATCTGTACTTTGGAAAGGTTCCCAGTGCTCCTATGATACTCTGCAACCCACTGCTCTTAAGGGTTTTGTGTAACTATAATCCATTTCACATCACAGGAATGACATCAGTCTGCTCCCTGCAACTCTCTAATATCCCTTGTTACCTCTTTTTGTTGTATTCTGGTGTCAGAGCCACCAAAGGCACCCCTGAGGATCTCTGGCCCCCCCTGACAGGGGTAAGGTTCCTCTCTTGACTAATCCCCATGGTTTTCACAGCTGATACTCGGGTTCTCAGGATCACGTGACATTCAGGTGCCTCTTTCTTGTCATCTGCACAATCAAGTCCAAGCACTCCAGTTTTCTTGGGCGCTTTCAGAGCTGGAGATGAGGTCTTGATTCCCTCTGGCTGGGATCGCTTCGAATGTGAGGGGGGCTCTGAGAAGGCTGCTTTTCGCTTAGTTTTTCTTGGCGTATCCACAGAAGCCCCGGAAGTGTGATGGGATGTCTCAGGGTCAGGCTTCCTAGGGGAACCTAAGCCCAAGAAACATTACAAAGAACAGGCAAATTTTACACCTAGCAATGTACACATGTCCAATCTAATTGTTGCTAAATAAAGTTATAAAAAGACATGAGTTATATACAAAGTTGAATTATCCTATCCTTAAAACTTCCATATACCTCTATTTTCATTTTCTCTCTCCTGAACTTGATGAGTAATCTCTCCTAGCACAGTTACTTTTATTTTTTAAATTTCTTCTGTACTTGATGCTGGGGACTGAACCCAATTCCTCACAATTTGAGGTAAGTGCACTCTCACAGAGGTACACTTCTAGGCCCTTCCTGTAAATCAACTTTTTCTTGAGACAAGGTCTAACAATGTTGCCCAGGCTGGCCCTGAACTTACAGTTGTCCTGCTTCAGCCTCTCAAGTAGCTGGAATGACAAGCATGTACCACTGTGCCTGACTTAGAAACCACCTTTTTTTTTTTTTTTTTTTTGAGAGAAGGTCTGCTATCTTATTCCTGGCTGGCCTTGGACTCCATATATAACCTAGGCTGGCCTCAGACTTGCAGCAATCCTCCTGCCACAGCCTCCAGAGTGCTGGGACCACAGGCGTGTACCACCATGCCCGGGCTAACCCAGCTTTTAAGTCAGTTTCTGGCCACAACCACACGTCTGTGCAGCAACCACATTTCCCTGAAATAATCTACCAGAGCAGTTCTCAGTGGGCTGCAACACTCCATCCTCCAATCCAACTCAAGAGGAAATCACTAGCGAGGCCTGAAGAACACAAGCCCCAGGCTCTCCTTAGCCCGCATTAGAAGACGGATTCCTGTGGACAGCCGTCTAGATCCCGTGACCTGTTCCATTTTTGCCAGTGCCAAGGGCTCTCAAGGACCTCCGTGCTCCATTCATAGGCACAACTGAGGCGCTGAAGAGGCAAGGTCTGTGCCAGATGCTAGGACAAAAGGCTAATGGGGCTCAGTCCTCATCCTCATCCACAAGACACTCGGGTCGAATTGGGACGATAATAGGCATAAGCATCTACAATATGAGTAAAATACATAGCTAGAGCACATGAGGGCTAAGGATGATAGCTTTAAAAAAAAAATGTTTAAATCACTTATTTACTTATGTATTTAGTACAGGGTCTTGCTACCCTGCTCAGACTCATACTGATCCTCCTGTTATCGGCCTCCCCAACGCTGGGAGATTACAAGTGTGCGCCACCATGTAGGGCTGGCGCAGCAAGCATCAAAGTGTTGTTTTGTGCCTATGTCCAAACAGCCATGGCGGCTTTATTCATAGTCAGCCCAAACTAGAAACAAACCAGATATTCTTACACGGCGAATGTATAAGCATTAGTAAACCCATTCAATGGAATAAAAAAGCACAAATTAGCAGTGCATGACACAATGGTTGACTATCAAGTGCATGATGTTAAGTGAAAGGGGGCAGAATCAGACTGATTTCAACATGTTTCAGGAAACAAACTTTAGAAACAGGCAGTAATTAGTGGGCACCAGGACTAAGAAGAATTTTTTTTTTTTTTAAAGTATTTGGTACAGGGTCTCACTACACAACTCGGACTCAGTGATCCTCTGGTTTTCAGCCTCCCCAGAACTGGGATTATAGGAGTGTGCTACCGCGCCCTCTCTGGGTGGCCAGCTTAGTGCATGGGGGGCGGGGGGGTAGCACGGCATGTGGTGTCAGGGATCAAACCCTGGCACCTTCACTTGCCTAAGCAGGTGCTTAGAACACTCAGTTACCTTGCTAGCCCTTAAGGTAGTGTTTCTACAAAGGGGCATAAATACATTTTGAGGTAAAACCAATTATAATGATGATTATAAAAATCTATATACTGGGGCCGGGGAGATGGCTCAGCAGAATAAGCGCTTGCCTGGCAAGCACAAGGGCCTGAGTTCAATCCCCGGTTCCGCCAAAAAAAAAAAAAATAAATAAAATAAAATAAAATAAAAAAATAAAAATCTATATACTTGTGAAGACTTTTAAGTCTGAAATCCAAAAAGCTACAAATTCTTTTTTTTTTTTAATGTATTTAGTTGTTACAGGGTCTCACTATGCAGCTTAGACTCATGATGATGCTCCTACTTTCAGCCTCCCCAACGCTGGGATTATTGGCATGCACCACCATAGCAGACTAGATGGCTCAGCCCGCACTGGGGAGGGGCTGGAGCAGCATATGGGGCTGGGGACCGAACCTCAGTCCCCGAGCTTGCCTAAGGAGGTGCTTTATTCCGCTTAGCTATCTCGCCAGCCCCGAAAAACCTACAAATTCTGAAACAGTGCAATGCCATAAAACCACAAGTGGAAGGTTCAAGTGGAAAATGTACGCATCCCACAAATACATATAACAAATATATAACCTTGGTTAGGTGGTACATGAGGGCGTATGAAACAAAGGAATTTCATGTTTAAATTTGGGTCTCAGGCCGGGGAGATGGCTCAGTGGCATAAGTGCTTCACTGGCAAGCATAAGGGCCTGAGTTCAATCCCTGGTTCCGCCAAATTAATTAATTAATTAATTAGGGTCTCATGCCCAGGATATCTCATTATGAATATTCAGGTACTCTATAAAAGGGAAATTCTACAGCAAATTATGCTTCAGTAAAACTGAACTAAAAATGTTATCTAGAGCTAGATCTTAAAAGTCTTTGAACATGCAGCTAAAATTACTCAGTTTTTTGGTAGATAATGAGATAACTCAGGTCTAGATTAACAAATACACCTCAACATCCTGGCGTCCCTCATATCTTAGTTCATTTCCCACCTTTCTGTCAAAATAACTGATCCGAATATTTTCACTAGATCCTCCGTCTTTTAGCTTTATAGTTGTATTGAATCAAAATTCTATTTGGTACAAGGTCTTGCTACACCAGCGACTGGCATGGCACACCTGGGGTTCCTGGGCAGGCACAGCATGTGGTACCAGGGATTGAACTGGGGTCCTTGCCCTTGCCAGGCAGGTGCTCAGACAGCCAAGCTATCTCCCTAGCCCTTGAATAGAAAAAATTTTTTCCTTTTTTTTTTTTTTTCGGAACCTGGGATTGAACTCAGGCCCTTGCACTTGCCAGGGAAGTGCTTATTCTACTGAGCTATCTCCTCAACCCCTAGAAATTCTTGATTTAAATTTCAAAATCATGCTAGTCCAACAAACAATTCTGCAATTATTTCTTTAATAACTTTTTCCCATTTTCCAAATGTTTTATACATTTGTATTCAGCTCTTATTTACACACTGTACAAAAGAGATACCACAAATACAAATAGCTTTCACAGAAAAGGAAAAATATGCAAAAGCTTAAAAATTAATTCCGATGTGGTAGTGCACACCTGTAATTCCTGAGCCCTGGAAAGCTGAGGCAGATGGACCACAGGTTCAAGCCCAGCCTGGGTGTCATGGTTTAAACCTGAAATATCCCTCATAGGTCTCACATGTTTATATGTGGGTCCTTCAGAAAGTGTCTGGGTCGTGGGGGCATAATCTAGAAGGCTATGTTCTTGCGGTGGGGTTATCCCTGCTCTCTGCTCTCTCTGCTTACTGGCTGCCATGGGGTGAGCAGCCTTCCTTTGCTCTGCCTTCCCACCATACTGTTTCTGACCTGGAGCCAACTGACCATGGACTAGACTCTGAATCCCTGAACCAAAATAAATCTCACCTGCTCTTAGTTTCAGTTGTTAAGGGTCCAGCAATAGAAAAGTAACTATTATAGTGGGCAGCAACTGGGTGAGACCCTGTCTCAAGATAAGAAATTTTAAAAAGGACTGGGGATGTAGTTCAGTTCAAAGGTTGAATCCCAAGTAATGGGATGGGAGGAATAAATAAAAATAAAATATTTAAACAACATATATTTGAAGAACTTCACATGTACACACACAGAAAAAAAAATGTCAAGAGGATCACTGACATAACAGGATGAGCTGAGCTCGCAGAGCAGCCATGGGCAAGAATAAAACATACACACACGTTCACTTCAGGATGTATCTGTGCGTATGCACCTGCTCATAAGTATGGTACGCTGAAAGTAGCCATGGAAAATGAGGTAATAAGTAGGGTGGGAGGGTAAGGAAAGGAGAAGGGCTTCTCTGAGAATACTTCTTTTAAACAGTTCTGAATCTGCATAATTGTTTCATATTTTTAAAAACCAAAATCAAAGATGAAGACCTAACATTAAATACAAGTAAAAGAACCAAACTGCATTATCACCAATAATAATTTTTTGTCAGGAAAAAGAAAATTAATCCAAGTCTCCTTCTTCACTCTGTAGAATATATCCTAGGAGCATAAAGAACCAGAACCAAGTTTAACCTTTACTTAGTGAGTGCACTGCTGGTAGAGGAACTAACACAGCAATTACAGAGCTATTTTATGGTGTATCAGAACTGTTCCTAAGAGCTGCAGTTTTTCCTGAAGACATATAATCATGAAATATGGGAAGGACCTTGTGGTCCAGATTTGAAGTTCAAGCATTTTCACTGCATGCAGGTCTTAGCTCTTCCAAGGAAGATGGAGGAGGAACGTCAGCGCTGCAGCAGGGCTCTTAAAGGAGCAGCTCATTCCAGGGGACTGCAGCACTAATCACGGGGGAGCGGCACATCAAAGGCACAAGCGACAACGAGGATGACGCGGGAAAGTCAAGCGAAGTGAAATAAGCCATGCACAGAAAGACAATTCCACACAATCTCACTTGTATGTGGAATCCTGCAAAGCTGAACTCAGAGGCAGTGAGCAGGACCAGGTCACCAAGGGCCGAAGAAGCACAGGGGAAGAGAACGGAGCTGCTGCTCAGTGGGTACAAAGTTTCAGTTTGACAGAGAAACAACTTGAGTTCTACTGCGTAACAGTAACTACAGTGAATGATAATCTAGTATATATTTCAAAATTACTAAACAGTCAATTTCAAACATATTACCATTGCTGGCTTTACATTTACACAATAGCCCAGGGTGTCATCAAACTCATGATCCTCCTGCCTCAGCCTCCTGAGTGCTGAGATTACAGGCAGATTCTCCATAAAGTGGAATATCATTCAGCCTTCAAAAGAAAATTCTGACACACGCTATAACATGGATACATCTTGAGAGAAAGAATTACAGTAAGTGAACCAGTCACAAACGGACAAATAGTACTCTATATAATTCCATTTACCTAGTTACTCAAATTCATGAAACTATGTCCCTAATGCTACTTAAAAATGACTGAAATGGCACAATTCACATTATCTATATTTTAATGTGTCCAATCAATACCTAGCCTACTGACGCACTAACTCAGCAATTCAAATCAATGAACATTTTATGGTGTTCCTTGAGCCCCCGTGTGCCCCACGGTGCCCCACTCCACACTTACCGACCAGCTCCAGCTTCTTCCTTGCGGTGGGGATTTGGCACGACCTGGAGGTAGAACATCCTGATTCTGTCTTTTTGACCGTATTTTCTGCTGTGTGCCAAGAACGGTTTTCTGCATTGCTAGTGCTGGGCCTCTGGCACTTGGGGCTGTCTTCTTGTAGTTTATCAAACTCTGTGAATAGTTCTGGGGACAGTGGTCTGAACTTCTTTTCATTCCAGGATAGTTTCACAAAGAATGTTTTCTCATTTTTCAGGTGCGTCGGGATCGGTTCATCAGATGCTAAAGCCACTACCTGCATTTAGGATGCACGGATAAATAGGAAAAGATGCAGCTAAATCAGCCATGGCAGAACCGACCAAAGCTATGATTAAAAACCACTTACTCCCACACCTGTATGTGGAACATTACCTTTTGTTATGGTTTATGTCTAGATGTCCCGCAAGCCTATGCAGCCCTAGGGATTTTTCAGAGGTGGCTGAATCTACAGTGTGCGGTGCTAGAGTATAGGGTGTGTGATTATTAAGTCAGTCCACTGGTTGGTTTGGCACCACCTTAATTCCAGCAGTACAGATAAAAGGGACACAGAGACACTGTTAAGGCCCTCTGCTGCTTTGGCCGTCTTCTACTGCCTTGAAACAATTGCCCCTCTGCCTTTTGCTATTCTGCCTTGTGCTATTCTGCCTTGGAGCCGGCTAACGATGGACTGAAACCTCTACAAACTCTCAGCTAAAAAAGTCTTTTCCCCTTTAACAACGAGGTGTTCTGTCCCAGCAATGAAGAGAAAAGTAACTAAGACATCTTTCTAAACTAAAGAGGCACAGATACAACATGGCTATGTATAGAAAAAGTAAGCATTTAATACTCAATTATAAGCAGTTTGAAATATGTCAGTAAATTACACACAGTAAATTATTCCCTTCACTTTACTTTTTTTAAAATTAAGTTTATTGGTACAATTTAGGTCCACACAGTGATCACACTCATTGTAGGGAATGTGTGCCTACACGTGACCTCTCGATCTGTCTTTGGCATACAGTCCTGCTCCCCGCCATCACCATGCTGCTGTCTGAGCACCCCCTTCCCTCAACGCTTCCAAGTCACTATACCCACCCTGCTACCTCAGCTGCTACCCCTGCGCTCCTTCATTTAACCCAGATACAGGTACCGTGGACAGTCATGCTAGACTCAAGTCTGCTCCACCACTAAGACAACCACTTATTCCCCGTAAGACCACACTTCAGTAGCACCACCTCATCCTACTTTGGGAACCCAAATCAGTGTCCCACTTCAGCCTATAAACCAGCAGCTCATTAGCTGATTTTTATAAAATCCCAGAGCACGAATTTGCCTTTAGCAACTGACACGCTTTGTGATTTGCTCAAGGTGAGGTCCTCCTTTAACAAAGCATATTCAGCCTCACGATGTTTTATGCCTGCCACAATCACAGCTAAATATAATTTCCCACAGAGACACATTAGCTAATTCCTGCTCATCCCTCAGGTCATAACCCAGATGTCACTTCCTCAAGGAGGCTCGCCTCAATGTGCTCTCAATCAGTATTTATTTGGATGAAGTAAACAGGAAGGCAGAGATAACATGAAAGAATTCCCCACGCGGCAAATTAGAGCCAGTAGAATTGCTGAGGTCATGCAGTATAGGGGGCTACAGAAGTCTGCACCAAGCTAGAACCCATGAGCAAGGCACCACCTACCTGAACGGGGCCAATGATGGTTTCAATACTAATGCTGTTGTCACAAGCAGGGTTGTCATACCAGAAAATCTCCTGTGGGTCAGGCTTCCGGCCCAAGAAATGCTGTTTACAGGGAGCCACTTCACAGAATCGGACAAACCACTGTACTCGTGCACGTTTCCTGGAACGGAGTTCAGAACCTACAAGGATTAGGTGGGAAGAAAAAAAATAAAGAAAATGTGAGAATCTTATTTAGCACTTCCTATGTGCCCAACTTTGCGCTAAGCCCTTAGCATGCATTATCACAACTACCATGCAAGCCAGTGTTACTGCTACCTCCAGGCAAAGAAATTAACTTTCAGGGACCTTGAGTGATTTGTCAAAGGTCATATGACCATCAAGCAGCTGTCCGATTCAATGCCATACCCACCTTCTTCTTGGTAACTGTGTCTTCAAAAGACACAGAAATTGAAACAGTATATGAGGGGGCCAGGGAGATGGCTCAGTAGAATAAGTGCTTGACTGGCAAATGCAAGGATCTGGATTGATTCCGCAAAAAAACCCAAAAAACAAAAAACAGTATTTGAAAGGAGCTATTCCAATCCAGGCTGAAAACAAATTGTAAATGATAAATTCTGCAAATTAATGAGTATAAAGAAGGGTCCAGCTGGGAGGGGTGGCACATGCCTGTCATCTCAGCACTTGGGAGGATGAGGCAGGAGGATTGCTGCAAGTTTGCAGCCAGTCTGGGCTACATAATGAGTTCAGAGCCAGCCTGAACTACATAGCGAGACCCTGTCTCAAAAAACTAAAGAAAAGAAATAAGAAGAAAAAGGAGGGCTGAAATCACAGGGGAAAAAATTTCAGCAGGAATTAGAGGAGCAACCAGAAATATCTTACAACCAGCAAGATGACTTATGGGCAAACGTGCTTACAATCATCAGCTGTATTATACAATTATGTCACTTTACACCAAGCGAATGTTCATACACTCAAGAATTCATCATCACCAAGGTCCCTTCTAAACTCCCCATAGAAAAGGAACCCATGCAAAGAAGCACCCACCCCACAAGACAAATCTGCACATACAAGCCCGCACTGCTGCTGACGCGCTCCCCCTAGTGGACACTAGTTTGATGCTATTTCTCTCCCTGTGGCCTACCCCTCCTCTCTTTGCAACACAACAAATCTTTCGTCTACTCAGTCTACTTAGTCTTTCTTTCACTTTTTATTTCATAATCCAGGGATCAAACCCAAGGCATTGCACAGGCGAGACAAGCGCTGTAAGGCTGAGCTACATTCCAGCCCTGTCTTTTTATCAAGACAGGGTCAGGCAAAGTTGCCTATTTTGGCTAGGAGCTTTCGATCCTCCTTCTCTTAGGCATACAAACTGCTACCCGCTCTCTCCCTCATGCCATTCCTCTCCCACATACCCAGGGAGAGGCAGTTCTGTGTAGTTTCAAATAGTGTCAAGGACAGCCTGAGATACATAGTGAGTACAAGGCCAGTCTGAACTAGCAGAGACCCTCTCAAAACCCACAATCACATTGGTTTCTTTCTTCTCAGTCCTCCCGCTGGAGCTCTGCCCTATTCCAGCTCCTGAGCACTGTGGACCATCTTCTGCAGAGGCTTGAAGCTCAGCACATCGCAGGAGGCTTGTGCTCCTCTTGCCTACACTCTCTGGGAGACTTCACCTTTTCGTCCATCATTTCCAACCCTGTACCTGAGTCCCACTCAATAAAACACCTAAAGAGCTTTGACTTTCCTGACTAAGCACCAACTGATACACCTTCGTAATCCAACTCACCTCCTCCCTGGTAAAGAAGTTGTACTTGCCAAATTTACTACTTCCATGGGCCAAAATTAAAGGCTAGATGTCTAGTACAGTACCAATCTCCTATTCATTTTCTTCTCCTTTCATCCCAAACTCTTTTCTCTGCATCCCCCAAATCCTGCTTTCATGGCCATTCTCATCCACTCCTTTTTAGTTTTTTTTTTTTTTTTTTTTTTTTGCAGTACTGGGGATCAAACTCAGGACCTTGCACTTGTCAGGCAGGCGCTTATGCTGCTGAGCTATATCCATGGCCCCTCCTCCACTCCTAAAAATAATGGAAAAGCAAAATTCCAAAGCCCTCCAGTTCCATTTTACCTAGCATCGCTCTGATGGCTGAAGGAAAAGGTAACAGCTGGTGTGCGTGTAATCCCACCTCACAGGCCCAGGTGCCTGTGTGCTGCTGGGACTGCAGCAGCAGGCAGCCTCCCTCTGCCTTACTTCCCGATTATCCATAACCAGGAATAGTTTTCACTCCAGCAGCAAACTCACCATCTTCAAACAATTCAATCAATTTGGCAACATAAGGATTTTCATCTTTCCCTTCAATCAACACGAACTGTCCAACTTGGATATGAGTCTGAGTTGAACAACCTTCTCTTTTCACAGATATTTCTCTAAGAAGGAACAGAGAAACTTGTTAGGAAATTCCTTTGCGTGAATATGCTCTTTAGGCCCTCTGGAACCAAAGAGCATTCCTTAACCAGATATTCCCTAAGTAGTTCCTCTATGCTGACTAACTCTCCTACTGGGATACCAGCTTACTAAGTTAAAAAAGTAAGTAAAATGAGTCAAATGAATTTTTTTTTTTTTTTTTTTTTTTGGAACAAATGATGAGGATCTAGAAGGCTTAATAAAAATTCTAATTTCTGTGTTTTGTTTTGTTTTGTTGTATTTTAAGGAAGGGCCTACAGGGTGTTTAGAGTCTCACTACGAGATCAGACTCATAGTGATCCACTTGTTTACAGCCTCCCAAGAGCTGGGATTACAGGTATGCACCACCATGCCCAGTCTCAATTGTTGTCTCAGCACACCCAGGGAGCAGGGCCAGCACAGCAGGCACGGGGTTCAAAATGTCTAGCCCCTGCACCTGCTTGCAGGCACTTTAATCCGCTGAGCTATCTGGTTTTTGTTTCTTGGTTTTTTTTTTGGTGGAACCAGGGATTGAACTCAGACCCTTGCACTTGTCAGGGAAGCACTTATTCCACTAAGCCATCTCCCTATCCCCTCCACTGAGCTATTTGGCCGGCCCTAATTTCTCTGTTGTTGAACAAAACCAAAAGCTTTTCTGAGGCTGGAAAGACGTCTGTCTGATGCTATTACCAAATTGGGCAGCTAGGAAAGACATCATAACAACATTCCTCATCTTACTAGCATCAGGAGTTACAAACAACTCAGTTTGAAGACCTATGACACTGTTGCACATACAAAAATATACCAACACATGTAACTGGTCCCTCATCACTATTTATACATAAGCATACATTAAATAAAATCCGTCCTTAGGGCCTGGGAGATAGCTCTGTAGTCTAAGTGTCTGCCTGGCAAGCACAAGAACCTGGGTTTAATCGCCCATACCGCATGTTGTGCAGGCCCTGGAACCCCAGGCGCTCCATGCTGGCTACTGAAACTGGGCATGGTGGCACATGCCTATAATCTTAGCGCTGGGGAGGCTGTGACAGGAGGATCACTAAGAGTCTGTGTAGGAGACCTTGTACCAAACAAATAAACAAATTTTAAAAATCCTTCCTTAAATTAATGCATTTATTTATTTATTTATTTATTTATTTTGGTGGAACCAGGGATTGAACTCAGGCCCTTGCGCCTGCCAGGGAAGTGCTTACTCCACTGAGCCATCTCCCCGGCCCCCAATGCATACATTTTAGAAGAGACTGGACACAAAGTTAGGAACAGTTTTGTTTGAGAAGCAATTCTGCTAGCCCAATTCTGAGAGCCCCATCACTCACTTGTAGGTTTGGTGGCCCAATTTTCGATCCAGCAATGCTCTGCCAACCCACGAATAGGTCAGCCTGGTCTTCCGCCTTGTGTTGTAGGACGCCATGGCTCCTGTGGAAAGGTCCTAACCCTGAGTGTTACAGCGACACTCATGGAGTCCCAGATACGCTCCTGCCTTCCATAAGTTCAGCCTGTTTTCTTTTTCTGCTGGCTGTGCCTTACACATTTTGGACTTCAATAATATTTCAAAGAGTCAGACTTGATGAAGATTAGACACAGGCAATCTAGTATCATCTACGTACATCTTACACTATTCCTTATTTTATCTTGCACACAGAAATAATACATGAGAAGATAAACTATACCTATTTGTAAGTTCTTAGTAGGAAAAAGTTACAATAGACACAGAACATCTAACAATGTGAAATGTTTCACATCAGTTATGTGATTTATCTTTTTTTTTTTTTTTTTGGCAGAACCAGGGATTGAACTCAGGCCCTTGCGCTTGCCAGGGAAGTGCTTATTCCACTGAGCCATCTCCCTGGCCCAGAAGTGTTTTTTTTTTTTTTTTTTTTTTTTTTTGCGCCGAATGCCTTCAAGGCATGACTGGCTGTCTTGTGTTGTGGGGATCGAACCACAGCAACCTGAGCCTGACTGCTTTGTTGAAGCAGCCACTTAAAGAACTGA